AAACAAACACACACACACACACACACACACACACACACACACACACACACACACACACACACACACACACACACACACACACACACACACACACACACACACACACACACACACACACACACAACACACAACACACAACACACAACACACGCAACACACAACACACAACACACAACACACAACACACAACACACAACACACACAACACACAACACACAACACACAACACACAACACACAACACACAAGACACAACACACAAGACACAACACAAAGCAAGCAAGCAAGCAAGCAAGCAAGCAAGCAAGCAAGCAAGCAAGCAAGCAAGCAAGCAAGCAAGCAAGCAAGCAAGCAAGCAAGCAGACACGAACAAACAGACAAGCAAACGCACAAACAAACAAGCAGGAAAGCAAGCAAACAAACAATCAAAACGAAACAAAGCAAGCAACAAACAAAACAAACAAAAGCAAACACACACATACAAAAACAACAAACAAACAACCGAACCACCACGCAGCCAAACAAACAAAAAGGGGAAAACGAACGAAGCAAACGAACGAACGAACAAACGAGCGAACAACAAAACAAACAAACGAGCAAACAACCCGCCCAAACACCCACCCCGCCCGCCCGCCCACCCATACGCAGCGCTCAACGACGACGACGGCGACGACGACGAAGAGCTCCATCGCAGCCGAGAAGCGCGTGGAGCGCTAAAAGTAGTAAAGATGTACACTGCCACCAGAAAGAGTGTAAAGAAAAGGCGCGCGAAGAGCGAAGCGCAGCCCAACAACCAAGCCATCTCCCCAGAAGCAAGGTCATCAGCCGAACAGCACGAAATCTCACTCGCAGAAAAAAAAGCATGAAACTGGAGTGTGAGTCTGCGTTTGTGATACAGATGACCGGCGGACACCAAGGGTACGCTGCGCGCACGACATCCACGTGTTCTGCCATGTTCTCTTTTGGGCACGCCCGAGCGACCAATCGGAATGCTTAAAAATTACCACACTTATACAGTCACCTCAGCGTTCTGCCTCCTAAGAACTTGCAGCAAGGCAATGGAGCCCTGTCCCAGGCCGCGGTCAGAGCCTAGTTCCTACAAGTAGTGCATCCCTCAACATACAAGCGCCGTCTGCGCCGCTTCGACCAACTTGCTTTCCGCGCCAACATTTCCGGGCCCGGGCAAGCAAGCCGACGCGGCCTTCGGCTCCAGCGGCCACGCATGTCAAGTCCGACAACAACAGGATCTCACATGGGTCTGGACGGCTTCCAAGCAACTGGAAAGAGCCCTGGTCATCTTGGGCCCGGAAGAGCTGGAGTTACAACTGGGATTACAGTAAACCATACTCGCAGCAAGTCAGAGTAATCGTGACCAAGGACAGGCCCAGAGTCTCCTATGCTCCCAGGTTTACGAAATCTCCATTGAGGACGGACTGTCCGAGTATGTAAACAGCAAAGACTTCGGTGTTAAAGACTGGATTAAGATGTCGAAACAACTCAAGGAAACAACTGTGGACCTCATAAACAAGATCAGGATTCAATCTTGACAAGAAGAAACCACGGACATCTCCAATGTTCACTCCGCCAACAGGATTCGCCAATCTCCAACTTGCCAGTATTGCCTCTATCATGACAAGACAGCTGGGACTGTCACGACAGGGGCGGCGGAGCAGCGGGCTTAGCAACCCGAATGCGGCTGTCTGATCAGGATTCTATATGGTGTTCAAGAATTTACATCAACTGATACTCCGAGAAAGAGAAGGGCGTATTTGGAGATCCATCTACATGTACTGCCGTCAACGAAGACGAAGAGGACCAGAGCCGATGATCGAATAGCGCAGCGCGGCTCAACATCCTCACCCTGAATCTAGCACGGCCTCCGATATATCCGGGAATCAAGAAGAGATGCGATCTTGGGGACTCTGTTGTGCTGGGCTTGATCCGCAATAATTCTGGGCATGTGCTTTGTCTTCAACAATGTGGCGGGATCCTAAACCTCACGGCCCAGGAAATCTTCCAGCAAGCCGGATATACTAGCATCGTGTTGACACAGGGAGGACGCAAAGGCATCTGTTGCTTTGTGAAAGGAGATGAAGCCGCCAGGGTTGATCTTATCAACCGCTATGTGCTGACCAAGTCGCAGACGTGGGCCAGCTAGGGAGGCAAGATGAGTCTGCCCGCTGCCACTGCGAGCACAGGCACCAAGAGGGTGTTGTTGCTTAAGTTTCGCAGGCTTCGCCAGAGAAACAGTCCAAAAGGCAGGCCAGCGCTGATGATACACGCAGAAGTATTCAAGACACTCAGGAAAGAGCACCATGCCTTGCGGCTAAAGCGTACATTCCTGGCCACCAATGGAACCCGCATGAGCACTGTCAAAAGCGGCCAGCTGATCGTCCACCCAGCTGCCAGCTTGAGGGTGCGGTCCAGCTGGTCTGACAAGCACATCACTGTCGCCGGTCCATTTGCTGGAGAAATCATGGCCAAGTGCGCAAACAGCGCAAAAGAAATGACTCGAGCCAAAATGACTACAGACACACACACACATCGCATATCCGCCCATACACGAACTCACGCACGCTGCACCCACGTGCGGGAAGTCGCAAGCCCTGCGGCCGCTCCTTATAATTTGTCCAAACTCTTCATATTATTGGTGCATGTTCCTCCCCGTGCCCCCGCACCCCCGCCTGTTCAATAATCTTGGGCACAGGCACCTCCTGAAACGTTGCGCGCGGAATCAGGAGGCACACTGGTTGTGTCACTCCAGCCTACTATACGCATTTGTGGGTTGGGGGTGTGTACCTTTTCATCCCCATGCCAACCATGCATTAGAGACGTCACTCATTTCTGACTGGCTGGTCCACAAAGAAACGGGGTGACAGGAACCTTTGGCGAAATGAGCAGGACCATCACTTGCTTCATGTGAGGGTTTTGGCGATTTCCAAGGCTGCCAGAGCACGGAAAAAAGGCTGGCTGTCTTCAAGCGCATTTTGGTAAGGGAACCATGTTTGGGATGATTTACAAGGCAACCGAAGGAACACCACCCATTTCGTGGCTACCCCGTTGCCGCGGTGGATCAATTGGATAGTTTTAAAGCCTGAAAAAAAAATGTTCATGAGCAGCCTGCCAACACTCAACGGGCCAGTTGTGCAGAACCACCAGGAGGCTGTGCTTGGCTAGGCAACAAAAGGTCCCTACCAGTGCTCTGAATTTGCAACCTGCATGTGAACCATGAAGAATGTCAACGGCAAATTCACGAGGCAAAGGGTCTCTTTTGGATGTCGTGAGCACCCACAACGAATGTTTTCAAAATCACCGGCATCCGAATCTAGTAAACCTCCAACATTCAGCCGGGAGCAGCATAAAAAGCATAGGCACATGATTGCAAATCCCAGAAAAGAAAGTCGCTCTCGTTGCCCTGTGAGGATTGTTCGAGGTTGTGTTGCTCAGTTTGCTACACCGCAGCCAGCATCCAACATGCATCTGACATACTGCACTCCAATGGACCCACTCTCTAGCCTTCCATTTGCTTAAGCTGCCTGGGAAAAAAACAAAAAAACTATTTCCAGTAGGATAGATTCCCTTTAAAAACCAACAAGGGATAATCAACATATTCTTAAGCACATGGAAGTAGCACTGTGGAGCATGCCTGTTTTGCAGTCACTGCTGAATCGTGCCCCGCAAGAGCTCTTGAAATGGTCGACAGGAAGCTTGCATCGGTCCATTCAGATCAGCCAAGTCGTCCCTGTCTATTTCTGCCAGAACAACAAAACCCTGCAACCCACGTGGCCAACGGGGGAGAACCTTCATGTTGCCCTGCTGCCAAGCTTGGCCAGGGTGAACACCTATCAGCATGCAACGGATTCTACCCCAAACCCACGGTCTTCAAGATCAAAATCGCTCCTTGCCCCATTTCTGGCTTTCCTCTATACCCTCCATCCCTGGTTTTGATTGTCAGCTGGACCTCTTCGAAGCGCGAACCTTCCTCCCGGAGCCTCTACCACCACCTGGTGAACGGGCACATCCACCACCTTTTGCACATGGCGGTGTACCAGGCGTTCCTGGCAAAGCGAGGCTCGTTCTCAGGCGTGGAATCTCTGCTGAACCCCTGGATCCTGGTTGATTGATGGGGGGTGCTCCATTTTGGACGAATCCTTCCTTTTTCTACCAGGTTGATTCCGGGGTACACATTATCTTGCAGCGGAGGGGTGTTGGTTGAGTTCTTTCTGGAACTGCACATGACATTCCGAGGCTCGCCCGCCTCCCAAAACTCCATTGTGAAGTGGGCGATGGTGGAATTCATCTGACGCCCGTTGGCTCGCAGTTCATAGCAAGTCAGGCGGCCCATGGCAGGTCTAGTTGTTACCTCCATGATGTTGCTTGACAACACGCCCCGTGCTTTTCCAGGACTGCCGAGTTGGACACAAAAGCCAGAGGACTTGAATGCAGAGTCAGAGTTCATCAGATCCACTCAACAGCAGAATTTCCGAAGCTTCCAAAGATGGGCACTGTGTCATGGATATTACAAGGATTGATGGGCATGTCAGAACTGCCACTTCCCAAGAGAACCTCACTGCATTTACCGCGTGTTTGTTTGTGCAACATAATATGAGCATCGGAAACTGGGGCGGGGGGGTGGGGGGCGGGGGATAGGATTGAACATCCTAGGGAGATGCAGCTATGTATGAAGTGTAATAGCAAGGCGCAATTCCGGTCATCCCTAATAAGTTGTGTAGTTTTCTGAAGGTGAATCTGAGCATTCGGGGGACAACCTTAAACAACAAATACAAGGTGAGACAACTTGTTCATGTGACCCGCATCGCCCAAACTCATGTTTAGCCGAACAACAGCAAAGCATTCCAATGCCGCGCAATATCTTATCATATCATATTGGTTTGTGTCCAAACTGTTAAACCAACATGAAGCTGTCACCATGTGGCGGGGTTTTTGCTTTTGGCACTTGGGTTCAGTCAGCCAAGGCTTACTCCTCGCAATCCGAAGCGATCAATCCCCACCCGCGGCCTTCTGCACGATGACGGGGGTCACCACCAGATCCTCGTGGAGCTGCGGCACCGGCACGTCCACCACCTGTCCAAGCTCCCCGGGAAAGGCCGAGCGGACGAACGTCAAAGCCGAGATGCACGCAACAAATGACTGTGGGTCAAAAAAAGGTACCCAAAATGCAACCCTGGAAAATGGAAACATGGACTAAGACCTGCGGTCCCCTAGTGGCTTAATTTTGCACACCCAAATGTCGATTTGTGAAGCTTGTGTTGATTCCAGGGCCAACCATAGCCGGCGATCCTCACAGCAAGGCTCCAGGGTCACAAGCAAGGCTCCAGACTCCTTGTACGCAACAACAGACCAGCTGCGTCCCCGCCCCTCTGATCTCAAGTATGCCTGTCACCTGTACCCGCAACACTGGCAGACTGCCAAACAAAAGCTAGGCCCATCCCCGCATGCATCCTTGGCCCACTCTTGGCAAGCGACGCAGACATCCCTGCCGCCTTCGTCGCCACGCCACTTACACGCAAGCAAATAATCAGCAACACGCCACCAGCATCGCTTGGCTCTGGGGTACACAGAAACATATTTCTGATTCTGGTTCATACTTACTCTACCCTAAACTATGTAACAGTTTTGGAGAAGACCCCGGATCCAGCCCCAAGGAACCTTTGCATATGCCAAGCACCCCCGCCAACCAAGGTGCTGCTGAACATGCTGAAACTGCCTGCCTGCCCGCCAAAAAAGGTATCCCTCCAAAGTAGGGACAGGCACAAGATTGCCAAACTGGCCCCCAATAGGTTCTAAGACGCTCAGGGGACAAAACGCTGTGGCTGCCGACCGTACACCGCTTAGACCTAGACGTAACCAAAGGAATCAAGAAAATAGCAGCCCGACCAGGTCTAGTAAAGTCCCTCACAGGTGCTGCCTGTTGGATCTTCGGCATGCTACCGAATGCCTGCCTGCCTGCCTGCCTGCCTGCCTGCCTGCCTGCCTGCCTGCCTGCCTGCCTGCCTGCCTGCCTCCCTTGCCTGCCTGCCTCCCTGCCTGCCTCCCTGCCTGCCTTACGCCGGTTACTACTTTCCAATTCTTGACACAATTGATGGACTCCTGCTTCTTGGATTCTTGCCAACACCCCACCGCGACTGTATTCCATGTGTTGGGGGGGGGGGTGCCGGTGGATTTTTCTCAAATTCTGCTCTTCGATTCTTCGGTCCTTCAATTCTTCATGAATCGAACGGCCAAAGAAAACCAAGAATCGAGGAGTGGCGCACTCGATGAATCAAAGCCTCGATAGTCCAAGAGTCAAAGAACTGAAGAGCCACCGAATTGAGGGAGCAAAACATGGAGGAGTTTAATAAAAACATGCAGAATGATCGAATGACTCAACAACTGAAGAAGCGAGAAAGAAAATAGTTGAAAACACATCGATGAGTCAAAGTACTGAAGAAGCAAAAGGCAGCAAACTCAAAGAATCAAAGAACTGAAGAGCCACAAAATAGAAGATGCAAGTAATCGAGAAGCGGAAGAACTGAAGAACACAAGAACCGAAGTACGGCGTAAATTGTTTGGTTAGGGTAACTTGAACCCGAAACATACTAAAAAAAAAAAAAAAACTGAGAGAAACACATGCGCGTCATGTGTTTGTTTGTTTGTTTGTTTGTTTGTTTGTTTGTTTGTTTGTTTGTTTGTTTGTTTGTTTTTTTGTTTGTTTTTTGAAGCGAATTATCGCAGAATCCAAGATCGAGAAGTCGATGAGGCAAAAAACCGAAGAGTCGAAGACCCGACAAGCCGAAAAATCGAAGGTTTGAAGAATCCAAGAGTCCAGGAATCGAGGTCTTCCAGAATCGAAGCCAGAAGTTCAAGGGTCAGAGTTCGGAGTCTCGAAGAACCAAAGACACAAATGGCCGAAGAATCAAGCACTCAAAGAACCGAAGAGCCGCATAATCGAGCAGGAGAAGCGAACCAAAGAATCAGAACTGACGATTCCCAGGAACCTGAAAAGCTGTTTGGTCAGTATTGTTTTGTATGCAACATGTGGGTGTCCTCCCACAAATTGTGGTCTTCCTTTTAGTCTTTAAAACAACCAACAAAAATGGGCATCCCAAAAATGGGCCTGCCATACTTGACTGTACAGCCCGTAGGAGTCCAACATGCCGTAATGAAATTATTGGCGCAACCTGTGTGACCTTTGTGGTATGGTCAAACCACGTAAAACAGGCACAAGGCTGTTTTGTTCATTCCCTGTTTTCGTCGCTGGGCCGGGCCTGTTCGGTCCTTCGGCTCTTTGCTTCAATTCACCGAGTGTTTTCTTTCAAGTCACTCACCCACATATCTTGGTTCCTCTTGCTTCCTTCTTTGTTGGTTCTTAGTTCTTTCCTTATTCGGCTCTCTGGTTCCCAAGAACCCACAGCCGGACTCCGCGCCGAATCGAATCTTCCGCACCTGCTCCACCGGGACTTCCCTCCGCCGCTTCTGCTGCACCACCTAGCCACGGAATCAAAATGATTTGTTCTTTTTGTGCGTGTGTGTGTTTTATATATATATATATATATATATATATATATATTGGGGTCTGGAAAAACTGGACAATGACCCATCCCCTTCTAGTTTCACTGTGTAAATCAAACAATGTGGGCTATTCAAAATAGCACCCAGAGGGTGGGAATGCTAGTGCGCGGGTGCTGATTTTTGTGGGGAAATTTAGATCTCGCCCCTTCCCGTGCCTCATGACAGACTATAGACTGGCCATTGACCGAACCTTTTTAATGATAACCCCGGAATAATACACCCCTGGTTGATTGATAGGGGGTGTCCCTTTTTAGTGGGGATTCATCACTTTTGCAGGGAACACCCCCTAATAATGGGACTGGTTTATGAATCCTGGGTCAACATTAGGTTGCTCGACCTCCTTTTCAAACGCACATGGCTATGGGTCAAAACCCTGTACCCCCAGTGAACTTCCCGATCCCCACTTAAATAGGCTCTAGAATGGGTGGTGAAATCACCTACCCCAAAATGGGATCCCATTGGTTTTCGACCACCGCGGCCACATCCTTCTTTTCGCCGCTTGGTGCTTGGTGCGACTTCCCGCCCCGCGCCTTGGGCACCACCACCATCTCCTCTTCGCCGATGGGCACCGGGACCTGCGAGGCGACCAACAAGAGAGAGAGAGCTGGCGGAATGCGAAAAGGATACGAGATTGTTTCCTTGATGATCATGCGTGATAATACTGACGATAGGGATACTTATGATGATCATGACACGTACGATGATAAATGTAATAAGGCTGACAACAAACAACATGAGCCGGTGATCATAATGATAATGATATGATAGCAATACTGAACACAATTGGTGTCTCTGTGCGTATAAAGCAGTGATGCTTGATAGTGGAGATTGTCACGCAAACACGCACTAGTATTGCTCATCATCGGCAACTCTGTGATTATTCTTTTAGTTTATCTAGCTCTGGTGGCTAAAGACACGTCGGCTTCAACACCCTTCAATGATGCAAGCCATGTCCAATCCCTGCCTGATGTGTTCGAACAGTTGTTTGATGAACCGCTTTTTCAGAAGGTAAATCAGGGATCTCCCTGTACCATGATCTGAAGCCAAACCAAGGTTTGTTGCTTGGACGCCATGCCTACTGGCTGGGATCAAAGAGCAGTTCCAAACTCCTGTGGCTAGCACACTGGGTAGTAATTCACGAGTATTGCATAATCCTTCCCAATCAACGAAATCCATCGAGCAACGGGAGTGCTCGAATGACTTCGATAAATCGCTACAAGACCCACGAAGTTTCTTAACAGGGTTGAGCTAAATGAGGCAAGCCTCTGAGAAAGTACCCAGTGGGCCTAGAGTCACTCTACCAGAAGCAAGAGTGCATAGCACTCTGCCCAAATAGTCACAGCTGTCAAACGTCTCACCCCTCCTTTTTGGGGTCCAAGGTAAAAGGTCACTGATGCCGTTTGTGCCAATGTGCAAACCGTATGAGCAACGGCTCTTGCGACATGCCGGTCTCAACTGAGCTCAAACACTGAATAAGTTGAGTTAACTGCCCGGGCGTGGAACTGCCAAAGCGCGCAACACGCAAACTTCCGATTCCCTCAAGGCAACTCCACGATTGAAGAGAAAGCAATATCCGATCAACGTGTTTGCTTGTCTTACTGCGGCAAAGCTTGATGGTCAGGAATCCTGTTTTGCCAGTTGCTCCTACGTGAGCCGCAAGCCCTTTCCCAAACCCAAGCCTCTACGGGAACTGTCACTGGCTTGTGCAGTGTCCTGCAAAGGCAAATGAAAAATCCTCATCATGAGAGTATCACCCTGTCGGATGGATTATGTCAAGCAGTCAAGCACCGCTCAGATGGCGAACGTCCTGGCTTCATCGCCCTGAGTAGGTTATTGCGCTTTCAATAGACTTGCATCCCATATTGCCGTCATAACTCGCTGACTAAGATCTAATGGCCACGTCCGTGCGCGCCCTTGGTGAACATGGCTATCTTGTTACGGCCTGTTCCAGAATGCATCCACGCTGCAGCAGTGATTGGGTGCCCCGCTGAATGGGTTCTAACAAATGGGCTCCTTTTGGAAGCAATGCGCATAACTGTCCTACGCGAGCGATCGGAACCGGTTTACTAGAACCCATTCAACAGGTACTCTGAAGTGACAACCTCCCAACAACCAACCTGGAGCCTCACTGAGGACCTTGCGCCAACGTCCCCACACATATGGGTTTGAGGATATCCTGCTCAGTTGGTTTTAAAGGGAAGGCAAAGACAAAACCCATTTTGGGCGTCCCCTGTTTTGACACATATCCACATCCAACAAATGCGCCTGGCGCCCGGATATGCTTGGCCCTTTCGCAAACTCCGTCCAATGGCTCCCCCGCAAAGCTGAGCCTCTGAGCAGTGCCAAAACGGTTTGAAAGGTTTATATAGGCTTTGACTATGACCAATTTAGCGAGCTGTAGTAGAACTATCTAAATGGCTCACAGGGGTTGTGGGCCCTACTCACTTGACATCAATCCGCCGTCTGCAACTCCACGGGACACGTCCAATGGCATGTCAGGACACTTTGCCCCCAAGTCAGCAGAGACAACATGTGCACCCAAAACCCAACTGTTGATTCTGTTAGAATGGTTACACAGGATTATATAATGATGGGCAGCATGACGGGCCCAATGATGGCCAGATGTGATTGCGCACTCAAAACCGCACCTGAGAGTCATGGCCATGCTCACGATGTTTCACTGGTTGCACTCATGAACCGACGCTGAAGGCGGGCGTGATGCACAAACCGGCCAACAGGTGGATAAATACATGCATCTTTCCCAGTCAATTTAGACGATCTCGGTATATAGTAAGCGGCTTTGGGATGCACAGTATCCTTTAAGGAACCGTGAGAAAAGCTTCCAGTGTGGGTGGGGTGGGTCTTCGTAGACATCAATGCAGGGCTCTCCTCTTTTGCAACAAGGACATCTTCCTGGCCCAGGCATGTTCATACTCATGGGTGTCCTCTTCGGACTCCAAATTGACCAGGGGTGGCTTGTTCTGCTTTTGTTTCTTTCCTGAAAACATGATCCCTTTGCAGGATACCCATCTGATTAGTGCAGCGATCTGAACTCAGCTGCGATTGACATGTCCGAAGAACGCCCGAGTCCTCTCTTGCACCACTCTCTTTGCAATGTGCACAACCTGGCCCGCAGACTCGGACAAGGGACGAACATGACTCAAGAGTCTGGGCGAATGTTGCGTAGGTCCGTGATGTGAGTTGCCTCCAACCCCAATTCTCTTTGCACAAAAATATAACCAGAAGGCAGGTGGCCCCCCAAATGCTGAAATGGAGCTGCATGCGACAGCAGATCAGCTTGACATGTTGGCTTTTATTCTGCGAAAGGCACCCATGAAATGTCACCCAATCTGTGGGAGGGATGATCATGAGATGGGAATGTGTCCAAACTAGGACTCTTCCAACTGTTTGGGTATGTCTTGTAGGTCCCTAGTTTTTGGCACTAGTGTTTGTAAGCATGTATGTGTGTACTTATTCATGTATGCATGCATGTATGTATGTATGCATGTATGTGTCTATGTAGCTATGTATAAATGTATGCATGTATGGTATACATGTTATGTATGTAATGTGTACGCAATGTAGCAATGTATTAATATAATGCAACACAATGTGATGTGATGTGATACAACGTCACGTAATGGAACTCCAACTCTATTCAACACGCTCTTTAACCGGACTTGCCCAGATTCCACTCAGATACTCTTGCACCTGGCTGCTGTCTCCCCCGGATGCTGGACTACCCCAGGTCACAACAGCCCCAGATTCAGAAATGGCAGCAAAAGCACCATAGGCAGTTGCTTGTATGTGCTGCACGTTCCTGAGCTGCTCTTGCACCGTGCTGCTGTCTCCGCCTTGTTCTGGATCACCCCAGGTCACCACAGCCCCAGTTTCAAGAATGGCAGCAAAAGCGGCGGCAGTTGCTTGGATGTGCTGAACGTTCCTCAGCCGCTCTTGCACCTGGCTGCTGTCTCCGCCCCATAATGAATGCCCCCAGGTCACAACTGCCCCAGATTCAAGAATCGCTGCAAAAGCAAGGCCAGTTGCTTGGATGCACCGGACGTTCTTCAGCTGCTCTTGCACCCGGCTGCTGTCTCCGCCACCTTCTGGAACCCCCCATGTCACAACTGCCCCGGATCCAAGAATGGCAGCAAAAGCAGAGTCAGTTGCTTGGATGTGCTGCACGTTCCTCAGCTGCTCTCGCACCTGGCTGCTGTCTCCGCCAAAGTCAGGATGACCCCAAGTCACAACAGACCCAGATTCAAGAATGGCTGCAAAAGCACGTTCAGTTGCTTGGATGTGCCGGACATTCCTCAGCTGCTCTTGCACCTGGCTGCTGTCTCCACCACGATCTGGACTACCCCACGTGGCAACAGCCCCAGAGTCAAGAATGGCAGCAAAAGCACCACCTAAACCACCATGAGCAGTTGCTTGGATGTGCTGCACGTTCCTCAGCTGCTCCTGCACCTGGCTGCTGTCTCCGCCCCATAATGAATGCCCCCAGGTAACAACAGCCCCAGATTCAAGAATGGCAGCAAAAGCAAAGCGATTTGCTTGGATGTGCTGCACGTTCCTCAGCTGCTCTTGTACCTGGCTGCTGTCTCCGCCCTCGCGCCCCCAGGTCACAACAGCCCCAGATTCCAGAATGGCAGCAAAAGCACGAGCAGTTGCTTGGATGTGCTGGACGTTCCTGAGCTGCTCTTGCACCTGGCTGCTATCTCCGCCAAAGTTTGGATGACCCCAGGTCACAACAGCCCCAGATTCAAGAATGGCAGCAAAAGCAGAGTTGGATGCTTGGATGTGCTGGATGCTCCTCAGTTGCTGGCTGCTGTCTCCGCCACAGTCTGGATCACCCCAGGGCACAATTTTGGGCCCATGGCCATACAAAGCAAATGCCCTAGCTGTGGCAGCCAGTTTGCCCAGCTCCACAACTGCAGTCACTATCTCCCCGTCTCCCAACCCGGCTTCGCTCACCGTGGCTGTCAAATCGAGCCGCTGGCCTTTCGCAGTGAGCTTCAAGGGGCGCTGGAAATGCTGCTGTGCTGCAGCCTTTAGCTCGCTGACGAGCATCGTCGGCGAGACTTCCACGGAGCAACCATCTCCATTGGGAAGGTAAACATCCACCTTCATCGCGCCTTCGGAAGTGTCTTCTACGCGTATTCAAGATGCCAAATCAGGACCACAAAAACCATGAACCGATTTTGGTGGATCCCTACGGCTTTCACATATCCCAACCCTTTGCGGTTCGAATCCTGGGACCCTCTCAGCTGACTGAAGCTCTTCGGCTGGGACCCGAGAATGAGTCGGTAACTTCCCGACGAGAATCCGTTTCTGCGCTGTCCGCTTCCTGATCTCCTGCTAAAAGTGACTCACTTTTAGTGGGTCGAATGGAAATCCAACCACTAAACACTAAAAAGCTAAAAGTTAAAAAGCTAAGAAACCGAATGGCTGGGAGCCACCCAGGTTTGCAATTGGACTTGAAGAAAGCAATCGGATCGTGGCTTCCTTGGTGAGCCATACCCAAAACCCATGTGCGGGACGGATTCATATATTTGGGGCCCCCAAAGAATTTGAGGGGACCCAATAAAGGAACCTCCGAAGTAATGTAAACTTCGGATTAATGTAAAGGACCAGGTTGAAATTCCACTACCCTTCTCTTTTTGCTAAAGGAGCTCAGTAAGGAAGGAGCTCCTCTCAGTAGATTCCTCAAAAGGGAGCATGGTTCGGAAATCTATGTTGATCTCCAGCGGGGTTGTTTCTTGATTTATGTCGTGGACACCCACAAATGGTTGAGGCAATTAACCCTTTGTGCCATGGAAAACACTGGTTCCCTACTTGGGGCCAAGTTAGCGAGTTGTTGGTAACCTAGCTTATAACCCCCCAAGTGGGGATAACCTGGTTACAAGGGGGATATAAACCCCAAATGGCCAACCACTTACTAACTTCGAACATCCAAGTAGGAATCATGGCTATTTGTCGGAGCCTTACCAGGTGGATGACCGGGCCCCAACGTTAACCCCGATGAACGTTGGAAGGCCTAGCTGCTTGGACAAGAATGCTTGGCATTCAATAATGCCTAACCACTTACCCTCCAACTGGTCCCTCAAAAGTGTGTCCTGCTCTTGATGTGCAGTTGGATATGCACTCCTTGCATAGTTTATGTTGCTCTCTCCTGG